TTTTAGTTACTAAATTATTTTTTTTGGAACATATATTTTTTGTATATTTATTTGTATCTATAGTAATTAAGTGTGCGGGTAAAAAATCGGGTCGGGTAGAAAAAACCCACCAGGTAAACGGGTCGGGTAAACGGGTCGGGTAATAGATTTTTTGGTAAACCCGTACCCGACCCGACCCGGTCTCCGGGTACAAAAGAAAAACCCAAACCCGACCCAAAACCCGCTCTTATCGGGTATACCCGACCCGATTTTTCGGGTTACCCGCGGGTAACCCGACCCGGTGGGTTTTTCTGACAACCCTAGGCCTAACGTGTTAAATATTGGCCCAGAAAAATCACAAGGCCCTTCATGTTCCCCAATACTGTAGCCCAGAACCCATAAAATCAATTTACTCTTCTTTTCTAGAAATAAGGACGTTTTTTATGGCAGGTCGATGGAGTTCACCTGAAATAATTCACGGAGATCATTTGTAGACCTCAGTGGCAGACTTCGAAAGAAGGTCGAGCACTTTCAGCAGTTGGAGATAGGTCAAAATCGACAAGCAAGGTTGATTGAGAAATCAGAAACGACAAGCATATTTAATGTGATACGACAGGTACACTGCATGAGGACGTTGTGGTGGACGAGTAGGCTACATCGGACTCATGATTTGAGAGGATAAACAACAAGGTTGAATTTTTAAATTTTGAACTGAGGAGTGACATGACGAGGTGGTCGAGAAGGTTTATATTTGAGCGAAGAGAGCTTAAACATGGTGGAAAACAGTAGACGTGAGTTCAAATTTTCGAAAGAGGTCGAGAAAATCTATCAAAGTATCATGAAAGTCCAATTAAGCAGGTCGAGAGATATCAAAGTAAGGTCGACATCGCAAAATGAGGAGCATAGGAATCTACTCTAAGAATCAAGATTGAACCGAAATGTGGCCACAAGTATTTTAGTTTTTTACCTCAGTGGCAGATCATTCAATTTTTAACCTCAGTGGCAAGTTATTTGGCTTTCGACCTCATCATCGGCAAGTCATTCGATTTTCGACCCCAGTGGATGGTCATTCGGTTCTCTACCTCATCTGCAGTCATTCGATTCTCGACCTCAGTGACATGTCATTCGATTCTCTACCTCATCCACAGTCATTTGGTATTTGACCTCATTAGAAGGTCATTCATTTTTCGATCTCAGTGGAAGGTCATTCGGTATCCAACCTCATTAGAAGGTCATTCGAATTTCGAACTCATTGGCACATCATTCAGTTTCCAACCTCCTCGGCACGTCATTCGATTTTCCACCTCGGTAGCGGGTCATTCAGTTTTCGACCTCAGTAGAAGGTCATTCCGTATTCAATCTCAGTAGAAGGTCATTTGATTTTCGACCTTAGTGAAAGGTCAATCGATATTCGCCCTCAGTAGAAGGTCATTCGGTTTTTTGCCTCAGTGGCAGATCATTTGGTTCTCGACCTCAAGGGCAGGTCATTCGGTTTGTACCTCATCTACAGTGCAGGTCATTCAGTTCTCTACCTCTATGCAATCATTTGGTTTTCGACCTCATTGACATATTATTTGGTTTTCAACCTTATCGGTAGATCATTCAGTTTTCGACCTTTGTGGCGTTAGGTCATTTAGTTTTCAACCACAGTGGAAGGTCATTCAAGTCTTGATCTCAGTGGTAGGTCATTCGATTCTATATCTCATCGGCAGTCATTCGGTTTTCAACCTCAGTGGTAGGTCATTCGGTTCTCTACCTCATCGGTAGGTCATTCAGTTCTCTACCTCATCGGTAGGTCATTCAATTTTTGACCTCAGTGAAAGGTCATTCGGTTCTGTATCTCATCGATAGGTCATTCGATATTTTTTCTCATTGACATGTCATTTGGTTTTCTACCATATATGCAGATCATTCGGTGGACATCAAGATCTGTTGGTGCTCATTTGGAGATCATTCGGTGGTCATTCAGATCTTTCGGGTGCTCATTTGGAGGTCATTCGGTGGTCATTCAAATTTTTCAGTGCTCATTGAAGGTCATCCGGTGGTCATTCAGATCTTTCGGTGCTCATTATGAGGTCATTTGGGATATTTTGTGATCATTTGGTGGTCATCAAATTCATTTAATGGTCGTACGGATTACTCAGTCGTGCAGATCATGCGATATTCATTTTGTGACCACGTGGTGGTCAAGGATTGTTCAATTTATAACCTCAGTGGCAGATAGCTTGAGCACTAAGGTACACCCCCTATAAAAGGGGCCTAACTGCCTAAGGTATCACAAAAACATATATTTCTCTACATTCACTATTATACTCTCATAATGCACTCTTTATCTCTAGCAAGTGATAACTTAGGTATCGGAGGCTCGACGTTGCGAACCCTCCCGGCGTTGAATTCTTGTAGGTACGAAGGCTGTCCGAATTGAAAGAGCCCGAGTGAAGTCCATTTCACTACAAAATTCAACAACTAGAACATAAACACACAATAGAACCATAAATAAAAAAGAAATAAAAAATATTAATACGAACATCCAAAACAACATAAATAATAATCAACAAAAAAAAATTGTTCATTTGTCGTTTCATATCAATTTCATCATCAACAGAATAATCTGTTAATATGTCAAACATAAACTATAAATAAATATCTAATAAACATTGAAACAGATACGATCTCCGAACTCCTGCACCATCCCTTCTCTGAATGGTCGCGTCGTCCCCTAAAAAGTCGTGGTCGTCTCAACCAACGACTTCCCCGAAATGAGGCGCCCGTAGTCGTGGCCGTCTATACGAGTCTACAGCATGGCATCGTACCTCATGTCAACGGAAGCCCAAACCTCGTTGTAGGGGGTCACGATGAGGTCGGGTCAGGGATAGTGCGAGATCTTTCCGCCAACCAAGCGGCCATGAGAGACTCAAAAGGAGCATTTAACACTTTTAAACCAACCGAGCCACGATGAGACTCAAAGGATGACATCGTACTTCAATCATGAGTATTTAACGCTTTTCACTGTGGGATCCCTTAACCAACCAAACCAATAAATAATTAAAAAAAATAGAGAGAGAATAATGAAGAAGATTGGAGATGGTGTGAGGCGTGGATACTTTTCATGTTTGAAAGTTACGAAAGTAAAATTCCATTAAATTAGAGCAATTATCAATTGCATGCAACTACCCTAATAATTATCTTTAAATATGTTTTAACTAGTGCATGTGGTAAATTTGGTTTTTTTTTTTTTTTTTTTTT